TTAAATAAATAAACAAATCAAATATTTGACCTCTTTCTGATAGATTTTCGTTGGCTTCGCTGACCCATAAATTATTTTTGTACTTCGTTTTTTTTTTTTTTTTTTTTTTTTGTATAGCGGTTGTTATATTTTTTGTTGTTTATTCTGGAAATTCTTTAAATTGTTTTCCATAACCTTCTCTTTCAATGGGAATTGAAATTGTGAAAAAGAAGAAGAAAAAACAATACCGAACCGAACGACACTAATCATCAACAATACCATCATTAATCAGTTTGGTTGGAAAGAATAAGGCAACGGCATAGAACTAAAGCAAAGAAGGCAACTGATAAGAACCCACCAATACACTGAGAGAAATTAATAATAATAATAATTGTAACAGTAACGGTCCGAGTCTACTGGACGTCTTGCGCGTTGATACCATCAGCTTGGTCTTCTCGCCGTTTACTGCCAGACCCACTTTGGTAGACTCCTTCTCAATTTGTTCAAAGGTGGCTGTTACCGCTCGCAATGTTCGACCTATCATATCGATGTCATCGGCGTAGGCGAGTAACTGGTGTTGTTTGGTGTGCAGAGTGCCATTTTTGTTCACCTTTGCGTCTCGTATGACCTTTTCACGACAAACTGTCACCTGAATTCTCGTTCGGTATTGAAGGGCTCCGATAGGTCCCTTCCGACTTTAACTGCAGACCTTGTGTCACTTAAAGTTATCCCGCATAGCCGTATTAATTTTGCAGGAATGCCGAACGTAGACATGGCTTTAAACACCTCTGAATGGAATGGGGCTGTCGAATGCGGCTTTATAGTCGACTAATAGATGATATGTGTCGGTGTGTTTTTCGTGTGTCTGTTCCAGGAATTGGCGCAGGGTGAAAATCTGGTCAATGGGGGATTTGCCAGGTCTGAAGCAGCATTGGTATGGTCCAATAATGTCATTGACTGATCATTGGCTTCAATCGTTCACACAGCACGCTGGATAGCACTTTATATGCGATAGGAAGGAGACTAATTCCTCTATAGTTGGCACATATCGTCTGGTCTCCTTTTTTCTTCCAATCGTTGGGATGCTGAGGTTCCAATCGTTGGGCATGCTTTCCTCTAGCCAAATTGTACTTTATTATTGTTCAGCCGCTGGTGCATGCATCTGACCACCAGTCTTGAATAGTTCGGCTGGTAACCCATCGGCACCTGCTGCTTTATTATTGTTCAGCCGATTCTCACCTCATCTTGGCTAGGTGGTATACACTCTTTACCATCATCTCTTATTGGTTCTGGGGTATCTTCTTCACCGCAAATATTTGATACCAGAACCTTTTCAAAATGCTCCTTCAGATCCTCAACACGCTGTCTGTATCTGTCAGCAGGTTTCCTTCTTCATCTCTACAGGAGGATGTGCCTGCACCGAAACCTTCGGTTTGGTGTTTTGCTCATTGGTAAAATTTCCGGACTTCATTCTGACTCCTGTACATCTCGATTTGTACGTTTCTCCTCTCTCCTTTAATCCCGATAATTCTCCATAACATTACGTGTTGCTACTGGGTTGTCCTATACATTGCGTTTTTCACATCAGTAGCATTACGACACTCCTAATCATACCATAGGTTTCTCGGTGGTGGTTTTTGGTACCCAAGTGTTGCTTTTGCTGCAGTATGTAGGGAGTGGGCAATTCCCTGCCATTGTGCTTCTATAAAATTATCGGGGCAAGAAGTGCTTTCGTCAAGCAGGTGGCTATGTCTGTAATGGGGTCTGAAAAATATTTTTCAGAGAAACATGTCTCTAATATAGTCTTGAAAAAAATTTTAATTTACGTCTATAGCAGAGGCTTCAAAAAATAGTATTTAAAATGCACGCTTTTCTGTAGTTCTCCAAAAATCCATGCTCTTAAAGTTCCTTCGAAAATTATATTTTTTAAAAAAATTTGGTTTGCCGTATTTTTTTTTAATATCCATAACCCTGGATATTAAAGGTCTTCCATAATATTTATACCCTTCAGCACACTGTGGTACAGGGTATTATATCTTTGTGCATATGTTTGTAACAGGTTTAGATATAGCTCCCATATATATCTTCGTCCGATTTAAGGTAAATGGTGTACCAAAGTCCCTACATATCTTTCGATTTGCACGAAATTTGGCATAGGGTACTGAATTGAGTCTTGAATGATGTGTGTCAAGTTTCGAAAACATTGGGTCAGATTAAGATATAGCTCCTATACACGTACTAAAATTTGTATGTAGAATATACCCAAAGTGGTGAAGGGTATCATATAGTCGACCCAGTCCGACTTTACTACTTTCCTTGCTGGTTTTATTTTATTTTTTATAATTTCATCTGACATTTTTCTTTCTTCTTCCTCTTGTTCTTGTCCATCTCTGACCATTAAACGGATGGATGGATGCTCGCTGTGCTGGGCTCTTAAGTACAGCAATTATTCATGTTACTGATATTATTTATGGGTTTTCTCTCTTCTTATGCGTTTTACTTTTACACGATTTTTGTTTTATGACAACCCCCTCGCACTTCAATATGAATTATTTTCTAGTTGAATTATGCGTTCTTCTGTTATTCCATTTTTATTCTTCATTCGTTTCATTTTCGAGTGATAAGAAATGGTTATTATTTTTGTATGCACTTCTTTTATGATAGCTAAGCGACAACATATTTTTTTGTTGCAGGTCCCATTTTGTTGTTGTTGTGTAGTAGAAAGTTAATGTATTTTCCACTCTCCATCCCTTCATTCCTATTGATTTTTTTCCAAAATGTTGACACAAAATTCATTAAAATCATAAAAAACCAATAAAATTAATATTTTCCAGTTTTATGGTCATTTTATGAAGTACCCTAGAAAAATTGTTCTGGCTTTTAAAAATAAATTTTAATTGTTTTTGTTTTTACTTTTAGTTAAATTTTGAAAATGAAATTAATTTTCATTTTAATCGCAGAAAAAATATTGAAATTGTTTTCACTTTGTGACAAAGGGTGGGATACAATGGCATATTATTTTATCTTCGAAGCCTCTACTAAACTTAAAAATATTCCTTTAAAAATCCACGCCTTTAGCAGAGGTCTGAAAAATATTCCTTTAAAAATCCACGACGAGCTGCAGCAGGGAGTCTTTCATAGAAGAGCTGAAGCAGGGAGTCTTTCATAGACGAGCTGCAACAGGGGGTCTTTCATAGACGAGCTGCAGCAGGGAGTCTTTCATATACGAGCTGCAGCAGGGAGTCTTTCATAGACGAGCTTCAGCAGGGAGTCTTTCATAGACGAGCTGCACCAGGGAATCTTTCATAGACGAGCTGCAGCAGGGAGTCTTTCATAGACGAGCTGCAGCAGGGAGTCTTTCATAGACGAGCTGCAGCAGGGAGTCTTTCATAGACGAGCTGCAGCAGGGAGTCTTTCATAGACGAGCTGCAGCAGGGAGTCTTTCATAGACGAGCTGCAGCAGGGAGTCTTTCATAGACGAGCTGCAGCAGGGAGTCTTTCATAGACGAGCTGCAGCAGGGAGTCTTTCATAGACGAGCTGCAGCAGGGAGTCTTTCATAGACGAGCTGCAGCAGGGAGTCTTTCATAGACGAGCTGCAGCAGGGAGTCTTTCATAGACGAGCTGCAGCAGGGAGTCTTTCATAGACGAGCTGAAGAAGGGAGTCTTTCATAGACGAGCTGCAGCATAGAGTCTTTCATAGACGAGCTGCAGCATAGAGTCTTTCATAGACGAGCTGATGCAGGGAGTCTTTCATAGACGAGCTGATGCAGGGAGTTTTTCATGAAGCAGGAAATCTTTCAAAGACTTGTTGCAGCAGAGAATCGTTCTTTGACGAGTTGAAGCAGTATTTGATAGAGTCTTTTATACACGAGCTGAAGGCCTTGGAGCCTTTCATACAAGCACTAAAGGTCTGGGAGTCGTTCATAGACAAGCTGAATATCTGGGAGTCTTTCATAGGCGAGCTGAATATCTAGGGGTCTTTCAAAGACTAGTAGAAGCAGGAAAACTTTCAACGACTTGTTGAAGGAGGGAATCGTTCGTTGACGATTAAAAATAGTCTTTCATAGGCTAGCTGAAGTGCCGGTAGTCTCTAATAGACCACCTAAAGGTCTTTTGTAAGCGAGCTGAGGGGAGTCTTTCATAGAAGAACTGAAGGCCTGGAGTCTTTTATAATCTGTCTTTATAGACTCCCTACAGATGAGCTGAGGGGAGTTTTTCATTGATGAAATTAAGGGATTATTTATAAAGGATCTCAGGAGGTCTTTATAGACAATATGAAGAGAAGATCTATAGTTTACGTAAAAAATCAAAATCCACCCAAAGAAATTAAGACCCAGACATCTTTCCTGCCTACCATGGAAATTGCCCATAGCTCTAGCACTTAACTCACCCATCGCATTTCTAATAGAATTAAAAATTGATTGATGACTTTATTTATTTGTTCTACGCCTTCTTAAATACCCCGCCAAAAATCGACTTCGAAAATTATGCTACTTATGTATGAATGATTGATTGATGACATTGAGCTTAACATTGGCCGCTGGTCATCATCATCATAACATCGTAACGACTGTTGATTTCATATCGAAAACTACAACAACAGCAAAAACAAATCAATGACAATTAATTAAAGAAAGACGAAAAAACAACAACAAAAAAGGGGTTAATATTGAAGGTCAATTGGCGATGTGGACATGTGTTGCATTAACATCGCCAAGTGACATTTTCTTCATGATTCTGATCTACCCAAAAAAATAAAATATGACACAAATTAAACATTTTTTTCTAAAACTTCCTCAAATTGCCGGGTGATGGGGTCTCTTCAACGGTTTTTTGTACTGTTTTAGAGATGACACAATTTTCAAATATGAAATAAATTAGCGGATGTGGTGTGCTAGTAGTTGGAGAGGGATCCATCATCAACCAAACCACCCCTACCCAGTGCCACAACATAATTTTTTTTATTTATTATGATTTACATTTTAAAATAAATAAATTTTTAATTTTATGTTTTTTTCAGAAACAAAGATCAACGCGGCATATTTCCCAAAACCTACATCCATCTATGCGAATATAAAATTGTCAATGGTGAATATTGCATCCAACGAACTGAAATTGTTGAGGAAATCACAAAAGTTCTCTTGGAATGGGGCAGTATATTGAAACAATATTATTTGGTAAGTCAGAACAAGACAAAACAATTTTTTAAGAGACTTTTTTATACGATTTCCCTACCCCGACAAATAACACGGACACCAAAGGTACCAATCTGTTACAGAGCTGGAGCAGAAAGTCATGGATTCCACCTTTCTCTGGGATTCCTAAAAATATTTTTTACCCAAAAAAACCCAAAAATACTTTTAAAAATCCACGCCTCTGCGTAGGTCTCCAAAAATATGTTTTAAAAATCTACGCCTCTGCGTAGGTCTCCAAAAATATGTTTTAAAAATCTACGCCTCTGCGTAGGTCTCCAAAAATATGTTTTAAAAATCTACGCCTCTGCGTAGGTCTCCAAAAATATGTTTTAAAAATCTACGCCTCTGCGTAGGTCTCCAAAAATATGTTTTAAAAATCCACGCCTCTGTGTAGGTCTCAAAAATATGTTTTAAAAATCCACGCCTCTGCGTAGGTCTCCAAAAATATGTTTTAAAAATCCACGCCTCTTCACTTTCCTCCAAAAAATATTTTTTAAAAGTCCACGCCTATTGTAGACCTTCACTTCGTCCATAAAAATTCCCTACCTTCAGTTCGTCTTAAAAAACTCCCTCGCTTTCAGTTTTTCTATGAAAGACTTCCTTCCACTCGTCTATGCAAGACTTCCTTCCACTCGTCTATGCAAGACTTCCTTCAGCACGTCTATGAAAGACTCCCTACTTCAGCTCGTCTATGAAAGACTCCCTGCTTCAGTTCCTCTATGAAAGACACCTTGCTTCAGCTCGTCTATAATAGACTCCCTACTTCAGCTCGACTATGAAAGACTCCCTGCTTCAGCTCGTCTATGAAAGACTCCCTTCCACTCGTCTATGAAAGACTCGCTTCAGCTCGTCTATGAAAGACTCTCTGCTTAAGCTCTTCTATGAAAGACTCCCTGCTTCAGCTCGTCTATGGAAGACTCCCTTCCACTCGTATATGAAAGACTCCCTTCCACTTGTCTATGTCAGACTCCCTTCAGCTGGTTTATGAAAGACTACCTTCAGCTCGTCTATGAAAGACTCCCTTTAGGGCGTCTATGAATAACTCCCTTCCACTCGTCTGTGAAAGACCCCCTTCCACTCGTCTGTGAAAGACCTCCCTGCTTCAGCTCGTCTATGAAAGACTCCCTTCAGCTCGGCTATTAAAAATTCCCACCACTTTTCCTGTCCTCCAACTGACTTCTACTTATCAGTACCCATTGCAACAGCTTTGGCCCCTTTGGGACCCATTATTTAATTACTCTCCCATTGGGGAAAATTATTAATTTATTTTTCATTCATTGATTGACGGACTGACTGACTGACAACCGCACAGTAGCAATAACAACAACATTTCATGTTGTTGTATTTCAATTTCTTATCTGAAATTTTCTAAATGGACTGTAAACAAAAAAAAAAAACTGAATATTATTTTTAAACTAATCAGTTCTAAATTCCCCCCTTTGCAGATCAATCATCCCGATTTTAATTGTATACGTCTGAAAATGATTGATTTAAGTAAAAATCGGGCATTGCTAATATCCGGCAGTTTGCCAGTGGATGAAATGCGTAAAATCAAATTGGAAGCCACCTCAACAATAGATACGGGGAACAATCTCCTCGGTTTGGATATGGTGGTGCGTGATGAAAGTGGTGATATTTTGGATACATCGAAAATATGCACCACCGAGCTCTATGAACATCACATGAATGCTGTCAATAGGATTATTAAAGCTAATGTAAGTAAATGAGAATTCAAAAAAAATCCGATGAAATATTAATTTCTCTCCTTTTCTATTTGCAGCGCCCTCGCACCATCCATCATGGACCCAAACCGCACAAAAACTTCTCCCACAATATACTGCTGCACGTGAACGCCTTCGTATGCAAATTCCAAGAAGATTCCGATTTGATATTCACTCTCTTCGATGGTGAATCCCACCGACCGATTAGCGAAAATTATGTTGTGAAGTGGTCACGCACCGGTATTGCCCGTGATATCGATCAATACGACAATAATCGTGTCCTTTTTACTGATCTCAGCAAGAATGATGTCAGTATTTCGAAAATGTATTTAGTGTGTTATGTCGTCCGCATTGGCTGTATGGAAATGAAAGAGAACGATTCGAAAAGGGCCAGTATCACCAATACCATGTTGACAGCGGCCAGTAAAAAACATTCTCAGCTTTCGATAAGTTCCAGTGGTTCATTCAGTGGCACCGAGTATATTATGCGCCGACCATTTGGTGTGGCCTTTAAAGATTTAACACCGATCATCAATAAACCCGAAGATGTTAAGAGTAACATCGATATGCCGTTTATCCTCTGCGAAAAGGATAATATGGATTTGACCCTAAGGAAATTGATAGCCAATAAAGATTGGGGTAAAATTGAATCGAAAATGTGTGTCACCGTCGAAGTGTTGCAGGGTGATATTAAACAGATTAAAGAAGAATTCCCTCGTCTACTGCACACCAATGTTCCCATAGCTCGTAAAATGGGTTTCCCTGAAGTCATTCTACCCGGCGATGTTCGTAATGATTTATATTTGACTTTGTGTTCGGGTGAATTTGCCCGCATTGCCAAGACTTCGGAGAAAAATGTTGAAGTCACGGTGACAGTTTGTAATGAACAGGGCCATTGTGTACCGGGTGTTATGAGTATTGGTGCGGGCTTGGCGCCCATAGATGAATATAAATCGGTGGTTTATTATCATGATGATAAACCCAAGTGGTTGGAGACTTTTAAGGTTAGTAGGAAATGAATTTCTTGTGTTGCTTATCAGATTAGTATTAACATCAATATTTTTATTATTTTTAGATACATGTCCCCATTGATGACTTCAAACAGTGCCACCTGAAATTTGTCTTCAAACATCGCAGTTCCAATGAACAAAAGGATAAATCGGAAAAACCATTTGGCCTGTCCTATATTAAATTAATGCAGGATAATGGTACAACAATAACGGTAAGTTTGGGAGTATTAAAACATTTTAATTTCAAAATAGGCTCAGGGTGGCTTTATGATATGGAAAAAGGCCTATCAAAGATGATTTAAAGGGGAGGGGAGAGCTAGACGAGCTGATGGGTATCTTCATAGACGAGCTGAGGGGAGTCTCTTATAGAAGAGCTGAAGGGAGTATTTTATAGACGAGTTGAAGGAAGTCCTTCATAGACGATTTGGAAGGAGTATTTTATAGACGAGCCGAAGGGAGTCTTCCATAGACAAGCTGAAGGGAGTCTTTCATAGACAAGCTGAACGGGGTCTTTCATAGACGAGTTGAAGCAGGGAGTCTTTCATAGACGAGCAGAAGGGAGTCCTTAATGTCTTGAGAAAGTCTTTGATAGACGAGCTAAATAGAGTCTTTCATAGATTAGCTGAAGGGAGTCATTCATAGACGAGCTGAAGGGAATCTTTCATAGACCAGCTGAAAAGAATCTTTCATAGACGAGCTGAAGATTTGGAAATATGAAAGTCTGGCAGTCGTTCCTAGACGAACTAAATGGTAGGGAGTCTTCTAAAGGCGTTGAACCTGGGAGTTTTGCATAGACGAGCTGAAGGCAGTCTTCTATAGACGAACTGAAGTGAGTCTTTCATGGGTGATCTGAAGGCCTGGGAGTGTTTCATAGACTCCCCAAAGGGAGTCTCAATAGACGAGCAAAAGGAAGTCTTTATGGACCAATTAAAGGGAGCTGAAGGGAATTAAATGGAGTGTCTATAGCCGATCTGAAGGGTGTCTTTATAGGCAATTTTGAGAGAGAAATTAATGCCATTCAATTTATATAATCTAAGTTTTGTATTTTTCTAATTTTTGCAGCAAGGTCAACACACATTGGCTGTTTACAAAATCGATCACAAGAAATTGGATAAAAATAATTCGAACAATGTCTATTTGGAATTGCCTTCTACTGTTAATGAATTACAGGGTGCCAAACCCTCAAATGCTGGATTTTCGTTATTACCCAAAGATCACATGATTATCGGTGTGAATTTGTGCAGCACCAAATTGACACAGAGTGGTAAGTACTACATGAATAACAAATACAATTTAAAAAATCTAAATAAAACAATTTCTCATTACAGTAAGTCTCTTGGGTCTCTTAAATTGGTCGGCACATCGTGAGACACTCGAAGAATCCCTTAATGCATTATCCAATGTACCTGGTGAAGAGGTTGTGAAATTTTTACAAGACATTTTAGATGCCTTATTCAATATTCTGGTGGAGAATGATAATCCTGAAAAATATGATCAATTGGTGTTTATGAGTATTATACATTTGATAGAAACTGTATCGGATTTGAAATATCAACATTTCCTAACCGTATTAGATGTCTATATCAATGAAAGTTTTTCAGCAACATTGGCTTATGCGTAAGTTGAGGATTTTTGTTATTAATTTAATTCTTCATTATTTTAATAATTTATTTAATTTACTTAGAAAACTCATTGATGTCCTACAACGCAATGTCCAAGAGGCCATAGATCCCAAAGAAAAATCAGCCGATGGCATTGAAATCGATGAACGCATTGAAGTGAAACGTCTCTACAAGACAACCCGATATCTACATTATGTTATGAAATTTATAATACGTTCACGCATATTGTTTGCAGCGATTAATGGCAATTCGGATTATGAGGATTTTGCCAATAAATTACATGGTAAGTAATTGATTTTTTTTTTTTTTAATTTGGAAAATGGATTTTTTGATGAATTTTTTTTTTAATGTTTTTTAGAACTTTTGGAAATGTTTATTAAAATGATTGCCTGTCCAACGGATTTGCTTAAATCCGAAGGAGCTTTACTCAAAAATTTGCACATAATTGCCACGGATTTAATGCAAGTTTTCGATCCCGTGAGATTAAGGTAAGTCATGCTGAAGGGAGCATATTAAACGACTATTGACTAATTGAAGGGAGTTTTATAGAAAAGCGAAGGGGAGTCTTTTATAGATGATCTCAAGGAAGGCATTATAGACGAACTAAGGAGAGTCTTTTTAAAGATGAACTAAAGAGAAGGGATTTCAAAGTTTTTTTAGATGGGTGAAAAGGGGTCTGTATTGAACAGCCTAAGGAAATATGAGTAGATGATGTAAAAGTCCTCTTTATAGGCGAATTATAACTAGACTCATACACGTGCTAAAATCTGTATAGACTATTTCTTAGACAAGCTGAAGGTAGTATTTCATAGAGGAACTGAATAGAGTCTTTATAAACGAGCCAAAGGGTTTTTATAGACGTGCTGTAGGGCGTATTTTATTAAACAGTTGAAGGGAGTCGTTCGACCGAGCGACCAGAAGGGAGTCTTTATTGACAAACAGAAGAAAGTTCTTAAACGAGCTGAAGTGAGTGTTTCGTAGACGAGTGTAAGAAGTCTTTCATAGACGGCCCCAAAGGGAGTCTTTATATACGAGCTGAAGGCAGTCTTTATAGACGAACTGGACGAGCTGAAGTAAATCTTTCATAGACGGGTTAAAGGACATGGAGTCTTTATAGAATAACTGAGAGGATGGAATTTAAATGGAGTCTTTCAAAGACGAGATAAGGAGAGTATACGAGCTGATGGACAGGGAGTATTTTATAGACGAGATGAATGACAGTGAATGTTTCATACACTAGTTGAAGGGCAGGAAGTGTTTTATAGATGAGCTAAAATTAGTCTTTATACAGGAGCTGGAAAGTGTCTTTATGGACGAGTTGAAAGGAGTATTTAAAAGACGTCCTGAAAGGGAGTCTTTCAGAGACGTACTGAAGGGTGTTTTCTGTAGACTAGCTAAAGGGAGTTTTTCATAGACAAGCTGCAGGGAATCTTGCATAGACGAGCCGAAGGGAATCTTGCATAGACGAGCTAAAATGAGTCTTTCATACACGGATCTAAAGGGAGTCTTTAAATACGAGCTGAAGGAGTCTTTCATAGACGAGCTGAAATGATTCTTTCATACACGGATCTGAAGAGAGTCTTTCATATACGAATTAAAGGACAACGAGTCCTTATAGATTAGCTGAAAGGAGTATTTCAAAGACGAGATAAAGGAAGTGTTTGAAAGCATTTCCTAGATGAGCTGAAGAGCGTCCTTTATAGACGAGGTGAAGGACATTGAATGTTTCGTAGACGAGTTGAAGGCCTGGAAGTCTTTTATAGACGAGCTAAAGGGAGATTTTATAGAGGAGTTCAATTACAAGAAGTCTTTATAGATGAGCTTAAGGGAGTGGACGAGTTGAAGGGAGTCTTTCATAGACGAACAGAAGAGTTGAAAGAGGAAGCACGAAAGAAAGGATAAAGGGAGTATTTTATAGATGAGAAGAAGGACAGGGATTATTTCATAGACGAGCTGAAGGACGGGGAGGAGCTGGAGGGAGCCTTTCCTACACTAGCTAAAGGAAATATTTCATAGACTATATTTATAGACAAATTGAAGTTAGATATTATAGAAAATTTGCAGGAAGTCTTCATAGACCAGCTGAAGTAGGAAGTGGGATATTTATTGACAAGGCAAATTGAGTAATTATAGACCAGCGAAGAGGAGATTTTACAGGTCAGTTGTAGGTAGATTTTATAGACGATATATGTACTCTCTATATACACGATATATACACGTAGTTCTTATGGAGAGCTGGATGTAAATTCTTAAAGTATATCCTCTATAGTATTGACAGGATTATAACAGGTCCATTACTTAAAGGATATCATAGTGTGGATTTTTAAAGAATACTTTTAAAGGCACCTTCTAAGATTTTAAAATTTTTAAATTTAAAGTGGATTTTTGCACAATGTTTTTGAGCACGAACGGAGCTTGAACCATTGATTTTTAAAGATTATTTTAGAAATTATATTTTTCAGAAACCTTAGAATTTTAGCCATTTAGAAAGGCTAACAGGACTAAAAAGACTATAATCGAATATTTTAAAAATATTTTTTAAATGACTTAGATTCATATTCGAAAAATATTGAAGACTATCAGATTCGTAATCATTTTAAAGGGCTGATGTTCATAAAGACGTTCAGAGAGTCGTAATATTTTTTAATATTTCCTATTCTTCAGGGATACTTCTGACGTATATGATATATATATATATATATATATATATTTCCTATTCTTAAAGAGTTGTAATATTTGTATATCGATATTTTATATGGAATATATATATATATATATATATATATACAATAAGATTATCAGATCAGTATAACGGTTTGTAATATTCCCCACTAATAAATAGTTCAGCCTGAGGTTTGTAATATTTTCAAAAAAGACTCAAAGAGTTTTGAGTTTTCTAATTTTTTTTCCTACCTTTAGGTCTGTTAACGTGGAGTTGTGAATTGTGTTTGTTCTAGGTGTAGTTTCAATCAATTTTATTTTTATTTTAATATTTCTTCTTTCCTGTTTTTTCTTACAGCATTGTCATTGTGAATATTCTGAAACAATTCCCCCCTAGGCGACTAACCCAATCGAAAATGGGTTGTATTAAGGATTTTGTCGATTCGAAATTATTCCATTTACCCGAATGCCGGGCCATTCTATTGCCTGTGTTCTGTAATCACATTAAAGATCGTTTGGAGAGCAAAGAAGAGGTATGTTTCAACAAATATTTCCCATTAATTTATTTACATATTTTCTTTTATTTTTAAAAATTTTAATTTATATATTAACTTAAAAAAAATAATCTTTTTTCTGTGCTAATGCATTTTTTGTTTGTCACATACATACATTATTAAACATTGTTACTCTTTCTCTATTAATTAATTCATTGTCATAATATGTGTGTTTCATTTGTTATAAAATTTTTTATATATAATAATAATTCAAAACATATAATTAATAAAATGAATTTCATAAAGCTTATAATTAATATTAATTGTTTGTGCATTCATTCAAGCATATATAAAAATATGTATTTTTAATGTAATTAAATACCAGAAAAAATATAATTAATTTTGATCTTGAAAAAAAATTTTAAATGTTTTATAGTCTATGGAAATTGTTTTGATTGAAATAAATAAATATAACAATATATTTAAAGTATATAGAACAAATGCTGTAAACAAATTATATTTTTGTTGAATTGTTTCTAGTATATTTTTTTTATAATTTTTGAGGTCTTTGGGCTAGTTTCTCCTTGATGAAAATAAATTAATATTAGATATAATGTCCTGATTGACCAATAAAAAAAATATATATATACACATATATTTATGTTGTTTCATACTATATTCATATTTTTTCATAAAATTCAAGTAAATTTAAATTGAAATTTATTTTTTTATATTTTTAATTGAAGAATTGTTTATATTTTTATTTAATTGAGTTACTTAATTGAAATTAAATTATTGATTAACTATTTTTTCATAAAATTCAAGCAATTTTAAATTGAAATTTATTTTTTTATATTTTTAATTGAAGAATTGTTTTTATATTTTAAATTTGTAAATTATTGTTTTAATAACTAACCTATGGAGCAACAATGTTTAATAAAATGCTATGTGCAAAAGTATTTGTTAAGTGTTTGAGCATGCTGTTTATGTTTTATTTGTTTAATATTTAATGCATTGAATTTTATTTTTATATTTATGTTTTATTTTTGTATGCATGATATATATGTCTATTTATTATGTTTGTCCCCATACAAATCATATATACACCATTGCTAGGTCGAATATAATTTTATATTATTTTAGAAAATAGTTTTTTTTTTATTTTTTAAATACGATATTTAATAAATATATGCACGCGAATATGTTTTTTATATTTTTTATAATTTCAGTTAATAATAAATATTTTAATTTTATAGTAAAAATAAACAAAAAAATATTTAAATTCGTTTATATTAAGAAACGTAGTATTTAGATTTAAGCACATTATATACATATATTTGTATTTAATATCTCATCCATAAAAATATCATCATCGCAAGCTAGTAAGAGATTTGAAAATAATTAAATATATATTTATTTGATTTCTTTAGTTTGTCACTAAGTCGTCACCTCACCATAATCAGAATATCACCACCACACTATATCACAATATCATTTTTATTAGTGTTTGTCATTATCACACACATTATTTAGAAACAGGGTAACATGATGAATTTGATTAACAAGGGTAGTAGTTTAGAAATAAATTAAAAAAAAAAAAATAAAAAAATCTTGTTGCCCTGTATAATTAATTTAATTCATATATATACATCATCATCAAATCCACCACCTACCCACCCACCTCATCATCGTAATTAGCTTTTCTTTATGTTTTTTATCTTTTGTTTTGTGAACTTAAACCACACACCAATGAACGCAACAACAACAACACCTCTACACTTTTTTGTTTTAAATAATTAGCATCATTTGAATGTGTTTCACCGAACAACAAAACATTACAAAACTCACCACAACAAACATTTGTTGTAATCCTTTAAATACTTTTTTCTATTTTTCGTTCTGTTTTTTCTTTCTAATTTTTGGGTTTAATATTTCTTCGTTTTTATTTTTTTGTTTTTATGATTTTTTTTAATTACTTCTCTCTCTATTGTTTTTGTTTAACTTATCCCCTTGTACTGTAATTTTGGCTCATATATATGTATTTTCACTTCGATCCTATTTAGAGGATCCTTTTCTTCATTGAATTTTTGTATTCATCAAAATTTTTCGTTTTTGTTTCTTTTGTCTATTTCCTTCATTATACATATATCTTCTAAACAACAACAAATACGAATTTTTCATTAAATGTTTTTTGTTTGTTGTGTTATTATTGCAAAAAATACATTCATAAAATAAATCAAATCAAAAAACTGTTATTAAAATAGGGCGATACGAAATCTGATATCTGGCAACAAGAAAAAAATCTTTCGAAAGCAGCCAAAGTTCTTGGACAATTAAAATCGCAACTGCATACCCGTGAAACAACAGCTAAACAAAAGGTAAAACAACATTAAAAATAAAAAATGAAAAAACAACTGAAAAAAGTGTGCCTCTGTCTTACAACCCAACAATCATGTCACATAAATTTATTGTAGTAGATAGATACATATATACAGGGTGTTCCAAAAAATAGTGTGTAAATAAATTAATGATCAATTGTTTGGAAAATTTTTCAAATTTTCAATAAAATAATGTTGTGTAAAAAAATATTTGAAATATTTATAGAATATAATCCAAGATTAAAACACTGTTAAACATTCGGAATAAGATTGTTAATAATTCTCCCTCGAAATATGCTATTAACAATTCAAGACTAAAGCTTCAAAAAATATGACTCAAAACAATCAAGATAATAGCTGTTGTCCTGTTCACACTTCAAAAATATTGTGTAAAACTATCATGATGATTTGTGCTTTAAAAGAGATCCGTGGTTATAGACCCTAAAATATTGTATATAAAATTCAAGATTCCTCTTGATACCATATTTTTATAAGTTTTAATTTTTAAAATATACTCAATAAAAATCTATCTATTTAAAAATATTACGAATTTCCAAGATTATAGACCCCAAAAAATAAGTTGTAAAAAAACAATATCAAGATTATAAAGATGAAAGTAATTAAAATATTGAGTATTTGTCACTTAAAAAAATATTTCAAAACTTTCACTATAATAGCCCCTAAAAATATAGTATAAAAGTCAATGTTTAAAAGCCTCTTGACATATAAAAAATGGTATGCAAAATATTTACGATTTGTCCCCAAAAATAGGGTTTAAAATATTACAACCCTCTTTGGCCCCTGGAAAAATAGTAATTAAAATATTCATGTTTATTGTCCAATTTAATCTATTGACCATGATTTATATATCCCTTCTAAACCTTTTTATTACAGCTCCCTAAAATATGCAAGTAAATCCGAGATAAACAGCTTGTTATCACCACAAATTTGTTTAAATTTTTTTCCTTAAAATAGGCAATACAAATTTAATATTTGCCCCACGTCCACGTCAAGAATTATCCACGAAAAAAATCAAAATAAAATTCCTTATCTTTTTGGTCCTTGATAAATGTAATTCAAAAGATTGTCCCCTCAAAAAATAATCATTAAAAAATATTCGTGGTTTAGCCCTTCAAAACGATTACTATTATAGCTCCCTAATTTATTCAATTAAATCCGAAACAAATAGCTTTGTTATCACCTCAAATTTGTTTAATCGATTTTTTATTTCGCCCTAAAGGCTTCAATCCAATATTTGTCCCACAAAACGTCCACGATTATAATGGCCCTCACAAATAATAAAAAACCCAAAATAATATCCCTTAATCTTCGATAGTCCTTTGAGAGATAAGAGCTTCAAAATCTAATTTAAAAAATACGAAACTTATGACTCACAAAAATGCTTTAAAACGTTCTCGATAAAACCCTCCTAATAATATGCTACAAAAATCTATACAAATAAGGTTTCAAGAATCCCTTATCCTTTTGGTTCTCGAAAAAATATAATTTCAAAGATACAATATGCTTCAAAATATGCTTCAAAATTTTTTCTTAAATAACCTCCCAAAAATATGCTATAAAAATCTATGATGACACCTTAAAAATAAGGTTTAAATATGCATGTTCCCTTTTTGTATTTGCCGCCTATAATAAGCAATTCAAACCTAATATTTGTTCCTCCAAAAGACGTCCGCAATTATAGCCCTCAAAAGTAATCTAAAAAAATTCCCTTTAAAAATAAAATTCCTTATAATTGTATCCCACAAAAAATGCTTGAAAACTTTTTTCTAATAGCCCCCCAAAAATATGCTATACAAGTCCAAGATGACATCTCAAAAATATGGTTTAAAGATGCATAAGGTTTTCCTTAAAATATGCTTTAAAAATTTTCCATATTTGTTATTAAAAAATAGAACCCAAAAATATTCTAAAAAATATCCAAGATCATGATAACATATCTCTCAAAATATTCTATAAAAATACATATTTATTACCCTTTTGGTCCCTTGAAAAATATTCTATAAAATATCTAATATTTGTCCTCTTCAAACCCCAAAATTAAACCTGTGCTCACAGCTAAAAATATTCTATGAAAATTCCAACATCCTTGACACCTCTTTATAAAAATTATTATTTGACCATCAGAAATTATTTTACACAAAAAAATATAAATGGACTCTTAAAAATATTCACAATATTTAAGATAGAGCTTTGAAATTTTATCTCATGCACTGATCCTAATACTACATTAAATATATATCCAATATTCTATAAAAAATGCAATTTTCTTCTTGACACTTCCTTATAAAAATCACGATTTGAATCTCAGAATTTAAAAATAATATTTAAATTCTGGCCAAGTACTCCTACTAACCCAATGATGTTTAGTAATGGACATTTCAATGTAACGGTACCTCACAATTTTCCGAATTTTCAGGATTTTGTATAAGTTTCTCAACCGAATTTTCTGTGATTTGATATTTTACGTTCTCATTCGATGAAAAATCTTCCAATCGAAAATTATTAATTTCGGCTAACGTTTTGTGGCTTTGTTAGTCCCTAAAAATAAAATTTAAAAAAAAAATCCTATTGTATTTAACATTTTTTAGCTTTAAATTTATCAATAATATAAATAATAATTTATAATATAAATTGAAATAAATTTCTTTAACAATTTATTGATTTAAGAATACAACCCCGCGGGCATCGAATTTTTCCACTAAGAATTTTTTTTTTGGAACATCCTGTGTATACAATGACAGCAATTTAAACACCATGTACCTCAATCGAGTCAATCGATTACCCCCTGTTGAAATCATATCAGTATCTCTCTCAGTAAATGTGTTTCAAAAAAATTGCAAATCAATTATGTCCATTCTATCATAATGTGATTATAGTAAGATATTTAGAAATAATAAAATGTAATTATTTTATATATTGTATTCTAATATAAGCTTATATTGTAATTTATAAAAAACAAAAATTATCATTTAGTGCTTTACATTACTTTTTAATTGGTGGTGATTATTTTTATAAAAATTTATCCATGCTTTTATTTGAAGACAAAAAATGTGATTTATTTTTTAATATAAAGTAGTAACGCTACATACCTACCGCGTCGCCTCTCAAGTATTTTGTGTTTCTCAATGGCATTGTGTTATCTAAACTGCTTATTTTATATAATTTTGAAATAATTGTCTTTGCAGTTATTTTGTTTACCCTACTACAAGCTTAAGCTTTTGTTATAATAATTTAAACATATTATATATTTCTTAATATTTATTTTGATGTTTGTTTTGTAAAAAATTGGTTTGTTTCTATTTTTTCTACACTCTCTAAAACATAACCTAAGTTTAAGATTTATTTATGAATTCTATCATAATTATAGATTATTATAATATAAAATAATGTAATAAAAATTAATTTTATATTAATGTATTATTTATAAGTTAATATATAAGTCATTTATATATGTATCCTACTTATTTAATTAATTTGTAAAAATGTTCAATTTATTAGTTGTACCCTAAAGTCTTTTTTTTAATTCCGGTATAGAAAATTTCCCAGTTACAACTTAAAGGAATAATAAGGATTGATTTAGAAATGCGACGAGAAATATTTTTAGCGTATTCTCAGGGTTATAAGCTAGCGTATTCTTCAAGAAAACTGCAAGAGTATTATTAGGACTTTAAGTGGGGAATTTTTAGGACATTCACAGATATATAAGTGTCAAATTTTTAAAGAATATTTTTAAGGTTAGGGTTTTCTCAGGCCTTTTAAATAATATTTTTAGGCTGCCCACGAGCCTATAAGAACGTGTGTATAAGCATATTTCTTGAAAAAACTAGCATATGCCCGCTACTTTGTTAGCGAATGTGGGAAATTTTTAAAAATGTATTAACATATCATACTACATATGTCAGAAAAAACTAAACAATGAACACATTAATATCGACTATAAATTAAATTCAAATTTAGTTCCACTTAGCACACATTAATTCCACGAGTACCCTCCTCAAACATCCACCAAAACTTCCTGCATATCCCGATCCTACACCCTCACAGTGATACTAAATTCAAATTTCAGGATTCAAACTCTATTGGTTCACCCACAATTTAAATTGAACCAAATTTAGTACACAGTAGTACGAATTTCCAAAACATACTACTTAACCCAAACCTACAATCCCACAGTGATCCTAAATCCAAGTTTCTGGATTTCAAGTCTATCGCTTCACCCACAATTCAAATTGTACCAAATTTAGTACACAGTATTACCAATTTCCAAACTTCCTACGTACCCCAATCCCACACCCCCACAGTGATCCCAAATCAAAATTTCAGGTTTCTATCGCTTCATCCACATTTTAAATCGTACCAAATTTCGTACACATTAGTACAAATTTCTAAAACTTCCTTCATATCTCTATGTTACAACTCAACAGTGATCCTGATTCCAAATTTCATGATTCTAGCTCTATTGGTTCACCTAAAATTCAAATTGTACCAAATTTACTACCGTTTAGTAACCATAAGTATTAATTTCTTAAACTGAATCCTTACTCCAATCCTACAACCCTACAGTGATCCCGATTCCAAATTTCATTGTTCCCGCTGTATCTGTTCACCCACATCCAAATTGTAGCAATTTTAGTACGATTTAGTACTTTTCGTACACATAAGTAAAAAATTTCAAAAACCATCTACATATCACAATCCTACATTCCAACGGTAATGTTAATTTCAAATTTCATTCCAGTTCGATTTGTATCTTCATATTAAATTTGTACCTAATATAGTACCATATAGTACTTTTCATACACATGAGTATAATAGACCTTACATCGCAACCCTAATTCGCTTTTCAAATTTAAAGATTTTTGATCTATTCATTAACATGCTACGAAATTTCGTACATTTTAGTACTTTTCGCATAGTTATAGTTTGAATGTCCAAAAAACCCTTTGCTATATCTATTCTACACTCCATCAGTGACCCTCATTTAAAATTAAAGAGTTCTAGCTCTACCGATTCGCCAAATACAAACGGTATCACATTTAGTACTTTTTAGTACTTTTCGCACCGTTCTAGTACGAACTTCCAAACACCCAGCCTTATCTGTCGCCTTTGTACCAAGTTTGACCTTTACCCAAAATTTCAAGATTCTAGCTTCAGCCGTTTCATCTGGGCGTTGATGAATCGTTAAATCAGTCAATCTTAAGACCATAATCGTGGAATTTTTAAACACTATTTTTGGGGTATTCTCGGAGGCATAAGTGTGGCATTTCCAAAGAATATTTTTAGGATATTCGAAAAAAAATATAATTGAACATTTTTACAAAAATTATTATTTATAAAAAAAATGAGTATTAAGTCCTTGATATTTTTTCACTGTTCTTTTTCAACAACTATTTTTTACGAATTTTTTTAATTATTTTATTTTTATCTTCTTTCCACCCTATCCCCCATCCCCACGATTCAGGTCACCGAATGCATCAACATTATGAACAATATTCTAAAGCTACTCTATCGCAAAGATATCGGCCATACACATAACGATATACGTGACATTATGCTGATCCTGCTGAGAACTGTCATCAAAACCTCCCACAATTTAGATCGTGAAAATCAATTGGTGGCCAATTTGGTAGCCATTATGTTGGGTATCCTGCAGTGTATGGATGCATCACATTATGAGATATTTGTACGACATCTAAACAATCGCTTCGAATTGCAAGATTTTGTCATTGAAATCCTATTGGTATTTGAGGAGCTGGTATCACCACATCAAAAGCCGGTATTTCAACGTGACTGGATGGATATGATAATGCATCAGAACACAGTGATATTGGGTGCCTTGAAACAGCTGTCAATTGTAATAGTCGATCATTTTATTGACCCATTCGAAAAGCAAGTGTGGTCGAATTTCTTCCAATGTTCCATAGCCTTCCTGATCCAGTCACCTCTGCAGTTGAATGACTTCAATGACAACAAACGGCAAATGATCTTTGCCCGTTATCGTGATATACGAAAAGATACGGCTCAAGAGATTCGTAAAATGTGGTTCCAGCTGGGTGAACATAAGCCACAATTTGTACCACAGCTTGTGGAGCCCATTTTGGAAATGAGTATGATACCCGAGGTGGAACTGAGAAAAGCCACAATTCCTATATTCTTCGATATGATGCAATGCGAATATTATAGTTCGAAACATATCCATGATAGTTATGGTGATACGAAACGCAACAATGCCCATTACAAGGCGAACTTTAATGAATTCGAAAGAGAAATGATTGAAAAATTGGATATCCTAATTGGTGCCGGTAAAGGAGATGTGCAATATAAAGAGCTATTCGAACAAATTATGCTCGAAAAATGTAATGCCCATAACATACTCAATGTGGAGGGTACGAAGTTTGTTAATATGGTTACGAAGTTAATGGATCGCCTGCTGGAATATCGTTGTATTATCCAAGATGAAAGTAAAGAGAATCGTATGGCCTGTACTTTTTCATTGCTGCAATTCTATTCGGAAGTTAATCGTAAGGAGATGTATATACGTTATGTCTACAAACTGTGTGATCTGCATATGGAATTTGACAACTACACAGAAGCTGCCTTCACCCTGAAACTCCACACGGAGCTACTCTCCTGGGATGATACCGAACTTTCAGCTTTGCTACGCTCCCACCGTCACATGCAATGTCGCAGCCATCGTGATCTGAAAGAGGCCTTGTATTATGAAATTATCGACTACTTCGATAAGGGTAAAATGTGGGAATGTGCCATTGATATGTGTAAGGTTCTCGTCCAGCAGTACGAAAATGAAATATATGACTACATCAAACTGGCAGATTTACTCAAGAAAATGGCCTTGTTCTATGAAAAAATACTCAAAGAAATGAGACACACATCCGAGTATTTCCGTGTCTGCTTCTATGGCTTGGGTTTTCCACGATTCTTGCAAAATAAAATGTACATTTATCGTGGCAAGGAATATGAGCGATTGGATGATTTTAGTACTCGCATCCTAATGCAACATCCTCAGGCGGAATTAATGCATACGCTGGAAATGCCCGGTGAAGATATAACACAAAGTGAAGGACAATATATACAAATAAATAAAGTCGAACCGATTATGGATGAAGCTTTCGCTAAATTCACAGATACGAAAATTATTTCAACGGAAATCGTGAAATATTTCAATAATAATAATGTACAGAAATTTAAATTTTCACGGCCGTATCGTGAAAGTTCATGTAGCGGAGGCTCGGATGATGGTGTCGGTAATTTGTGGTTGGAACGTACCGTGGTGACGATTAAATATCCTCTACCGGGTATATTGCGTTGGTTCCCCGTCATCGAATCGGATACTTTTAAGGTGAGTGGAGATCAATCAAAAAAATCTTCAATAATATTTTAAAGGCAGGGTGGGTCATTATCCTTGAATTTTTTAAGAGATTTAAAAACTTTAAATGACATTTATTTTAGAATATTTTTGAGGGCTGTTTGAGGGTGTTAAATTCGGAATTTTCAAGCAAATATGTTTAGGGTTTTCTTTGGCCTACAAACGTAAATTTTGTAAAGCATATTTTTAAGAGGTTCCCTTGGGTACAAACCTAAAATGTATCAAGAAAATTTAAAGGTTATTCGCAGCTCTATAAGTGTGGAATTTATATCTAATATTTTTAGGACATTTTCAAAGCTACAACAGTGGAATTGATTCAGCATATTTTTATGGTTTTTTCAGGACTATAACCTAGATTTTGTAAAGCGTATTTTTAGGAGATTCACATGGCTACAAATCTAAAAATTTTCAAGGAAACTTTAAGGTATTCTCTGGCATATATACATAAAACTTGTAAGGGATATTTTTAGGCGGTTCTCATGCCAACAAACCTAACATTTTTCAAGAAAAGTGTGAGGGTATTCGCAGATCCATAGGTGTGGAATTTATATCTAATATTTTAGGACATATTCAGAACTACAGAAGCGAAATTGTTGAAGGATATATTTATGGTATTTTTAGGACTATAAGCGTAATAGTTTTAATGAATATTTTTTTAGGGTATTCTCAGGATTATACGTGTGATATTTTAAAGAGAAAATTTAGGGTGCTCTTAGGTCAACAAACGTGGAATTTGTAAATAATATTTTTATGGTATTCTCAGTTTTAAATGAGTAGAATTTTTAAATATTATTTTTACGGCACTCTGAGGGCTACTGGCTTGGAATTTTTAAATACATTATTTGGGGTATTCTCAAGGCTATAAGAGTTCAATTTTTAACGCATATTTTTAGAGTATTCTCAAGAATTTTCAAAGACAATTTTTAAGGCATTTTCTGGGCTATACATAGAGTATTTTTAAAGTATACTATTAGGGTATTCTCAGGGCTATGACCTTTGAATTTTTAAAATATTTTTATGGTTCTTTTCAAGCATAGGACATAGGATATTCTAAGGGCTATTGAGTGCAAGTTTTTAGGGTATAGGGTAAAATAGTTCTTAATGACCAAGGGGCTTGGGCTTTAAAAACTTATATTTTTGACGATGACTTGAAACTTGGAGTGTTTTAAAAATATGTTTTCAATTACCATCAGACCTAGATTTTTGAGGTTTTAATATTTTTCAGAGCTTTAATCGCTATTTTTTTTTTTAAATAAGTTAATTTTTTATAAGTATTTTTCAAATCATTTTTTATTTTATATTTCAGATTTCCCCACTTGAATTGGCCGTTGAGACAATGAAGACGACAAACAAGGATATACGCGATTTAATTATTGCCCATAAAAATGATGAAACAATACCGGTTAACCCCTTGGGCATGAAGATCCATGGTATTGTTGATCCCGCCGTTATGGGTGGTACAAAGAAATATGAAGATGCCTTCCTCACGGCTGAGTACTTGGAAGAACATCCCGATGATAAGGAATTGGTAGAGGAATTGAAAGATTTGATTGCAGCACAAATTCCCTTATTGGAAATTGGTAAGATCAGATTTTAAAAATCCACTTTTTAAGCAGATGATTTTTAATAATTTGTTTTTTTTTTCTATTTCCCTGCAGCCATAACACTGCACCGGCAAAAGGTACCCGAAAGTTTAAAACTATTCCATGAACGTTTAGAAACATGTTTTGCCGATATGCAGGCTCAAGTGGAGGCCAAGTATGGCAAGAGGGTAAGTTTCCATTCAAGTGTGTTCTACTTCAAATGTTTCAAATGTTCAAATGTTTTAATTTTTTATTATTTATTCTTATTTATTAAATATAAATATTTTACTTATATATTTTTATTTACCCATATTTTTGTAGACTTGTGACCTAAAACTAGATCGTGATTCGGTAATAATGCGCCGCAACAACTCCTTTATGCCCAGCATGTGTGATACCAATAATCGTTTGTCCGAGACCAGTATGGGCTCTTCAGAGTAAGTTGGAAATAATTTCTATCAAAGGTTTTTTTTTAGTTTTCTAATTGATTTATTTTATTTTCTTCTCTTCTCTATTGCAGTAGCGGTCTTTCAAAATCAACAACACGACCTCCAACCAATTCAATTAAATCCACATTTGGTTTTGCTTTTAATCCTAGGTATGTTTTCAATTATATTTAAATACTTATTTAAGTAGTGCCCATGAATACATTATAAACGAGTTTCAAAGGTACATTGGCCGCCTATTAAATATACGATATTAGACCTTAAAAAATATAAAATTTGTAACACTATCAGTTGTAGAAGCTTGCGTATTACAAAGAATATTTTTAGGGGCTATCTGGCTTTGTTTTGAAGACCATTTTTTAATGAGTATCATAATTAGTGAATATTTTATAACATTTTTGTGAATTTTTATACTAATCCGGAATTAGAAAAAATATTTTCAGGCTATTATCATGCCAATAAAAGTTGAAATTTTTAAACTTTTAAATTGTAAACATTTTTTAAGAATAGTTTTGGGGTACCGCATGATTTATGTGAAATATTTTTAGGACAAGAGTGGATTTTTCCACTGTATATTTTTTCAGTACTCTTATGATTATAGTGATATTTTTAAAATATAAATTTAGGCTGCTATCAGACCAACAATTGTAGATTTTGAGTTTTTGTTTCTATGCCTTTTAGGGCGAAGGATCATTCAAGTAAATTCAAGTAAATGTTGCAATGATCATTGCAACTCCGATCATGTAGCTCATCTCGAAAGAGAAATTAATAAAAAAAAATTGTAGATTTTGTTAATAATATTTTTGTTTGGGATTTTTTTTAATAATATTATTTGCTATTCTCAAAGCTATAAGGGTGTAATTTTTACGCATATTTTTACGATAATAAATGTGGAATTTGCAAATATAATTTTTAAGGCAGAATTTTTGAAGTAAATTCTTAAGGTAATCATAGGGCTATGTAAATGGTAATTTAAACAGTTTTGATGGTATTTTTTCAAATTTTAAAGAATATTTTTAGGGCTATAAAATTGGTATTTTTTACTAAAAAATTAAGAATAACATATAAATATCATTTAAAACACCTAGCCCTGATATTACCCTAAAAATATTCTAAAAATAATCTTTAAAAACTCAAATTTTATAGTGCATAGATTTCTCTAAAATACTATACAAAACCGTCACTTATAGAGCTGATACTTGCATTGCGAAATATTCTTTAAAAATTGCCATGAAAAACCCCTAAAAATACATTAAAAATAGCCTTTTTTTTTTTAATTTTTTATATTTATGGGCATTACTTATATATATATATATATTAATTTAAAGGATTTTAAATAATAATGAATCTTCTTAAATTTTCTTTTATATTTCTATTCAAATATTGTTGTTTCATTGTTGTAATAAAATTTTATTTTCCAATCATTTTCAGTTTGAAAATATAATTTTTGTAAATATCGGAAAAAATATGTATTATATTTAAATGTTTAGTGTCTATATTTTTTTTAAGGAATGCATTTTTTTCTCATTTTGAGATTTTGATTTTTTCTTTCTTTCCAAACCAATTATAATTTCCCAAACCTGGCTTCTTTTTTGTTATTTCAATATTTTGTTCTTGTATTATATTTATTGCTTTGTGTGTTGTGTTGTTGTTTTATTTTCTTTTTTTTTTTTTTTCCTTTTTGTGCTCCTTTATTTATTTCTTTGATTGCAAACTGAATAGACCCAGTCTTGGTCATTCTCCAAGTACAAAAAGCAAAACCAAGGATAAAACCCCCTCAAAACGTCGATCGATCTCAAAAAAGGTATGAGTTTTTGTTTTGTATATTTGTTGTTGTAATTGTTTAATTGATTGATATACTTATTTTTAAATTCTAGTTGGATCGTGACGCCCTAAGTCTACCGGTGGCCAATAGCCAATGGTATACAGCACCCTTGACAACGATAACCTCAACACCGGAAAAAGAATCAAATACATCGATAATATCAGCGTCCAATACCTCGCTGTGTTCGAAGACCGCTGATCCGAAAGTATTAACTGAAGAGGTAAGTATTTTGATAGAAAAAAGTTAAAACTGAAGAAGGCGTGGATTTTTTAAAGATTAGCTTCTCAAGGGTCATAAAAGGCGTGGATTTTTTAAAGATAAGTTTTTCAAGGGCCATACGAGGCGTGGATTTTTTAAAGATTAGTTTTTCAAGGGCCATACGAGGCGTGGATTTTTTAAAGATTAGTTTTTCAAGGCGTGGATTTTTTAAAGATTAGTTTTTCAAGGCGTGGATTTTTTAAAGATTAGTTTTTCAAGGCGTGGATTTTTTAAAGATTAGTTTTTCAAGGCCTGAATAAGGCGTGGATTTTTTAAAGATTAGTTTTTCAAGGCCTGAATAAGGCGTGGATTTTTTAAAGATTAGTTTTTCAAGGGCCATACGAGGCGTGGATTTTTTAAAGATTAGTTTTTCAAGGGCCATACGAGGCGTGGATTTTTTAAAGATTAGTTTTTCAAGGGCCATACGAGGCGTGGATTTTTTAAAGATTAGTTTTTCAAGGCTCATACAATGTGTGGATTTTTTTTAAAGATTAGTTTTTCAAGGCCTGAACAAGGCGTGGATTTTTTAAAGATTAGTTTTTCAATGCCTAAACAAAGTGAGGATTTTTTAAAGATTAGTTTTTCAATGCCTAAACAAAGTGAGGATTTTTTAAAGATTAGTTTTTCAATGCCTAAACAAAGTGACGATTTTTTAAAGATTAGTTTTTCAATGCCTAAACAAAGTGAGGATTTTTTAAAGAATATTTTTTCAAGAACGTTGATTTTATAAAGAATATTATTTAATATTCCATTTCCTTGGTTTTTTCCAGCTTACCTCCAAACGCCCCTTGCGATCGGAAAAAGAAAAGGAACGCCGTTTGTCACGACCGGCCAGTATTGCAACACCCACAGCAAGTATGAAAGGTTTTTCGGCTGCCGATACACAATCTCTATCCGGTGCGGATAGCAGTAATCGCAACTCCGTGGAGACTACCGATTCAACATCCGAAGAGGATTTAATACCACCACCATTGCCTGCCAAAACTCGAGACTCTACAGATTTTTCTAGTCTCAATTATAGTTTGGATTGGAACAACAGTACATTTTCATTGGGCAGTGCCCTGAGTCCGAATGGCACCATAACCAGGGGTACAACGTGCTCGAGCACGAACACGACCACCACCAGTATTGTGAATACATCATATGAATATGTTGAAACCAAAAATTTTCTAATAACCACCACGGCCGTGAATGCTAATGATGATAAAAAGAGGCCACCAACACCACCACCAAAGCCATCAAGGAATAGCAAACACATTCCATAAGAAATTAAAAAAAAAACACAGAGGAACGGAAATTTTCAAACTCAAGTCAAATCGATTGCTCAATTTTAAGGACAAATCGAAAAAAAAATAATTAAGAGAAAAAAGAAAACAAGTGCCAAAAATTTAATAACAACAACAATAATATTGAAGACAGTTGGAAGAAGTTAAAAATAAGAAAATAATTGAAAAAGAAAAAAAACGAAAAAGGGGAGTGGCGGCCAACCAGATCGAGGTTATACTTGGCGTTAATTGTTTTTTAAATGTTTAGTAAGTTTATTTTTTAAATTTTATTTTATTTTTTATTAATTATTATTTTTTAATAATTATTATGATATTAATTAGGTATTTTAGATATTAATTTTTAAATATAACAACAACAACAAATATGTATTATATAAAAAAAGAAATTAACGACAACAACAACAACACATTTCACACACACATACTACAAACTATATACTCTTAAAAAATTTCCAATTTATTTTTAAAAAAAAAATAATGATATAAACAAGTCTTCCTATTTTTTATAATAATATTTTTTTTATTTTTTTATATAATATTTTTTAATATTTTATTTAAAAAAAAAATAATTCGTGTCATTCTAAAAAAATAAATTTTTATTAAATGTTAGTCTTTTTTAGTTTTTAAAATATATATTAATTTTAGAAAATTACAAAAAAAAGAACCGATAAACGAAAGAAAAAAACAAACAGCAAATTGTACTGGACAACTCAGTATTTTGTTATATATAATTTTTTAATAATTTTAAGAATTAAAAAATTATTGTTTAAATTTAATAAAAAAAAGTGCCACTATTGAAACAAAGGAAAGGAAAAAAACTAGAAGAAACAATTATAGGAAATAATGCACAAAAAAGAATAATTTTTATAAAAAGAATTACAAACAAAAAATACTAATCAGGAATTAAGTCAATTATTTTCGAAACAAAAATGAAAAACTAAACCATATTCTAGCAAAGAAAATCATGTTTATATTTTTGTTTACTAAATTAATTTTTATATTCTAGAAAATTCAAGTTTATATTTTTGTTTACTAATTTTTAATATGTTTTATATATAATATTATTTTTTATATAATATTAAAAACAAGAAAATTCTTTTCCTATTATCATATTCGATTTGAAAACGATCTGCGAACTTTTTAACAACAATTATTGGGCAATATTTTTTTAAAATTAATATTTTTCATAATTAAATTTTTAGCAATTTATTTTAGTCACTACTTTGCAATATCCCTTAAAAAATAATCTACCTATTTTTAAACTCGTGCACTGGCTCTATAATAACTATCTTTAGTTTTTAACGAAAAAAATATTTTTATAAGTCTTGTCATTCATAGATATAAAGCAATTACATTTATTTTTTAAATATTTAATTTTAATTCAGTTTCAGTCTTCTTTTTTATAAGTTTTGGAACTTTATTTAATAAATGGCCAAAGATTTTTTAAGTATGTATTTTACAAAATAAAAAAGAGTGCACAGGCATACCTAACTAGTTATACAAACATAAATACATTAGTAATATATTATACATATATACATGTAAAAACAAAATATACATTTTTATATATGTGTGTGTTTTTAAGATCAGTTTTTTCTCTGTGTAGGTAATAAATTTAATGTTTATACAAATAAAAAAGAGAAATTGTTTTTATTATTTTTTTCGATTCTAAGGTAACATTTTGGAAATAAGTATTTTTAATGCCTAAAGAAGACTTTTTTCGAGGCCCAAATAAGGCGTGGATTTTTAAAAAGAAGACTTTTTCAAGGCCTAAACAAGGCGTAGATTTTTAAAAATAAGACTTTTCAAACCCTAAATAAGTCTTGGATTTTTAAAAGGCCACTTTTTTCAACGAATAATTAAGGCGTGGATTTTAAAAAGAAGACTTTTTTCAACTACTAAATAAGGCGTGGATTTTAAAAAGAAGTATTTTTTGAGGCCCAAATAAGGCGTGTATTTTTAAAAGACTACTTTTCTTCTAGGCCCAAATAAGGCGTGGATTTTTAAAAGAAGACTTTTTTCTAGGCCTAAATAAGGCGTGGAAGACTTTTTTCTAGGCCTAAATAAGTCGTGGATTTTTTAAAGAAGACTTTTTCTAGGCCTAAATAAGGCGTGGATTTTTGAAAAAGACTTTTTTCTAGGCCTAAATAAGGCGTGGGAGACTTTTTTCTAGGCCTAAATAAGGCGTGGATTTTTAAAAGAAGACTTTTTTCTAGGCCTAAATAAGGCGTGGATTTTTAAAAGAAGACTTTTTTCTAGGCCTAAATAAGGCGTGGATTTTTAAAATAAGGCCTATATGAAGCGTGCAGTTTTAAAAGAACGCCTATATGAGGCGTGGAGTTTTAAAAGAAGGCCTGTATGAGGCGTGGAGTTTTAAAAGAAGGCCTATATGAGGCGTGGAGTTTTAAAAGAAGGCATATATGAGGCGTGGAGTTTTAAAAGAAGGCCTATATGAGTCGTGGAGTTTTAAAAGAAGGCCTATATGAGGCGTGGAGTTTTAAAAGAAGCCCTATATGAGGCGTGGAGTTTTAAAAGAAGGCCTATATGAGGCGTGGAGTTTTAAAAGAAGCCCTATATGAGGCGTGGAGTTTTAAAAGAAGGCCTATATGAGGCGTGGAGTTTTAAAAGAAGACTTATTTTTTTTAGCCCCGAATAAGGCGTGAATTTTTAAAAGAAGACATTTTTCAACGACTAAATAAGCCGTGGTACAGACAGCATGGTAGTGAAATTTGAAACCCAATGAGAACCCAAAATACCATATTACAGCCAATTCGGTTGAAAAACGTGTAAAAAATCCCCAAAATACCGAATATTGGAGGGTACCGATATATGGAGGCTACCCTGAAACTTGGCTCAATATTAATAATTTTTGGTACGGAGATGTGTTATGCAATGAGAAACCAAAATACCAAATTTCAGCCCATTCGGTTAAAAAAGTATCCAAAAATCTCCAAAATACCGAATATTGGTGGGTACCGTTATATGGGGGCTACATTGAAACTTACGTCAATATGAATCATTTTTGGTAGTAAGATTTGAAACCCAATGAGAACCCGGCATACCAAATTGCAGTCAATTTGGTTGAAAAAAGCGATCAAAATTCCCAAAATACCGAATATTGGGGGTACTATTAAATGGGGGCTACCCTGAAACTTGGGTCAATATTTATAATTCTTGGTACGGAGATGTGTTACACAATGAGAACACAAAATTCTAAATTAGAGCCAAATCGGTTTAAAAACATGGTCAATATCCACAAAATACCGAATATAGAGGGGTACAGTTATGAGAGGGCTACACCAAAACGTGGACCGATATATCCCATTTACATAACCAAACATCCTAGAAGTTTAAGCTATATATGTGCAAAATTTCAAAGATCTACGGATACACATCGACATTGATTTTATTTTGATCAAGAATAGACATTTATAGGGTCTCTAGGGAGTATTTTGAGGGGTTACAAACGGAATGGAGGGTATAAAAACATGCGATATTTTTTCTTCTTTAATTTGTCCAACTCTTCAATCCTGAAAAATATTATTTTCTTTGTCCTATTTCTAAAAATGTATGTATCTTCCTTTAACAGTTTCTACCATTTTGCCATTCGCCTAAAAGTATGCTATAATTTTCGTTACAAACCAGCAGCCATAGAAGAAGACGAAAAGAAATTGGCCCTTTTTGAAAACACAATTTTGGTGTGTTTTACATTTTCATGTAACAGGTGCCCAGTAGCGAACAGTAAGTATATTTCGCAGCATCGTTGAATTAAAATGCTAATAACTCAGCGACTACTTAATCGATTGTCAAAAATTTTGCACAAATGTTTAGGGGGAAATCTAAAGTTTTATTTCATATTAAAGCTATATATAAAAACGTATATTATATATGAGCAAATTAGAAATGTGTGAGAACTTAAATATTGTTTTAAGTATCGACTATTTTTTTGCTTTTTTGGTTAAATGTAACAAAGTGGAGTCTCCTTTCATTCGATGTACACGTTATTTTGCCGCTCGTATTGAATTGAGCCGAGAAAGGCGAATAATGTGGGAGTTCTTTGGATGTTGTTTTTTTTTAATATCGACTAATTTTTTGATTTTTTTGTTAAATGTAAATAATGTAGAGTCTCGTTTTATTCGATTTACAAGATATTTTGCAGATCGTATTAAATTTTTGTCGAGAATGACTAATTCTGTTCTTGACCATCTGTCAAATTTTGTAGCTGAACAATATGGATCCATGGATTATTAAATTATATTTATCTGGATTAAAATTATATTTATATTTCATCAATTATGATTAAAATCCAAATATCTCCAATATTGAAAAATCAAAAAAAAAAAAAAAGAACAAATGTATCCGGTTATTGATCGTAGGTTTACTTACTTAGATGGCTAATGACAGAACTTTCGTTCCATAATCCAAGCTTAGAAAAGATTTCCAGGCGCGTCGGTCTTTTGCGCAGTTTTTCCAGTTTGAAAGATCATATTCGGCAATAGTGTCCTCCACTTGATTTTTCCATCTTATTCGTGGCCTTTCCCTTCTGCGTGAAGCATCAGCTGGTTCGCTTTTATATGCCTTTTGGACTGGGGCATCTTCATCCATTCTCACAACATGACATAGCCAATGTAGTCGCTGCAGCTCAATACGTCTAACAATGTCGATGTCCGAGAATAGCTGGTACAGATCATGGTTCCTTCGGCCGATATTATATATAACGTATATATATATATAAATCTTTTGGAGAATATTTTTCTCAAACACTCCAAGAATTCATCTGCTTGCGTAAGTGCCCATGATTCAGATCCATATAAAAGCACGGGTAGTATCAGCGTCTTTTAGAGTGAAATTTGAATTGGCGGAAAGGTGTCCTTGCTTTGGATGTTGTTTTTTGCTATAGACTAATTTGTAGCATCGGTTGGTCATAACAATCCTTCTTCGAATTTCAAAACGGATGTCATTCGTTTTATTTATGGCGGCACCAAGGTATATAAAATCTTTGACTACCTCGAAGCTGTATATTCTCAAGTAAAAACAGTTGGTCCGAGCCTACTGGACGTCTTGCGCGTTGATACCATCAGCTTTGGCAGACTCCTTCTCAATTTGTTCAAATGTGCCTGTTACCGCTCTCAATGTTCGACCCATTATGTCGATGTCATCGGTGTAGGCGTGTTGGTGTAGAGAGTGACATTTCTCTGAACGGATGGGGGTGTCGAATGCGGTTTTATAGTCGACGAATAGATGGAATGTGTCGATGTGTTTTTCGTGGGTTTTTTTCAGGATTTCGCGCAGAGTGAAAATCTGGTCAATGGTGGATTTGGTATGGTCCAATAATGTCATTGACCATTTGCTTCAGTCGTTCACACAGCACACTGGATAGCACTTTATAGGCGATGGGAAGGAGACTTATTCCCCTATAGTCGACACATATCGTCTTGTCTCCTTTTGTGCACGTGACACAGCATGCTGGGGTTCCAATCATTGGACATGTTTTCCTCTAGCCAAATTGTACAAATAAGCTGGTGCATGCTTCTGACCAGCATCTGACCACCAGTCTTGAATAGTTCGGCTGGTAACACGTCGGCTCCTGCTGTTTTATTGTTCTTCAGCCGATTAATTGCTTGCACTCTATACACTCTATTGCTTGCACTCTATACCATCGTCTCTTATTGGTTCTGGGGTATTCACTTCACCGCCACTATTTGATATCAGAAGCTTTTCAAAATGCTCCTTCCAGATCCTGAACACGCTGTCTGTATCTGTCACCAGGTTTCCTTCTTCATTTCTACAGGAGGATGTGCCTGCACCAAAGCCTTCGGTTTGGTGTTTTACTCGTTGGTAAAATTTTCGGACTTCATTCTGACTCCTGTACATCTCGATTCGCTCACGCTCACGTTTTTCTTGTTATTTCTTCTTTTTTCTGAAAACACGTTTCTCCTCTCTCCATTTCTCCCGATAATTCTCCATCACATTACGTGTTGCTATTGTCTGTAGGGTTGCCCAATACGCTGCCTTTTTCACATCACTATCATTACGACACTCCTGATCGTACCATGGGTTTCTTGATGGTGGTTTTTGGTACCCAAGTGTTGTGGGCAATTTTTTGCCATTGTGCTTCTATACTATTATCGGGGCAAGAAGTGCTTTCATCAAGCAGTTTGGTAAGTTGAGCGGAATAGGCCTCGGCTACCTGTTGTATTTGCAGCATTTCCGATTTTTGTATTAAAATCTCCTAGCATAATTTTAATGTCATGGCCAGGGCAACGATCATATGCTGTTTCTAGGCGCTCGTAAAATATGTCTTTGGTCAGTTCATCCTTGTCTTCGGTCGGAGCATGGGCGCAAATGAGATTGATGTAGAAAAACTTCACTGATATACGGATTATAGCAATTCGCTCATCTACTGGAGTGAATCTGGAGACGAGGTCTTTTCTTTTCCTTTTAACCATAAATCCGCAGCCTAATTCATGTCTCGTTTCATGGCAGCTATAATACAGGACTTAAACATCGGGCCTTCGCCATGTTAAAGCCAATCAGAGCCGTTTCTTGGTATCTATCATTGTAGGTTTATTGGAATGAAAAAAGGTAGAGGATTCGATTGTTGGGTTTCTAATTATAATTAATGACTAATGATGATAAAAATATTTATTTTTTTTTGGGATTAATTTTTATTAGATATAATAAAGAAAAGAAAACAAATTGGAAGTGTTACAAAGTTGGATTAGTAATAATTTAATTCATAATATTTTGAATATAGGTAAATAAAATAATTTCAATTTCAATAAAAATATATAATGCCAAAAAGCTGGGTAATTTTTTTTCATAAATGCAACAAAGTAGCGTAAACAAATATAACAAAAAAGAAATATATAATAAAAAAAATATTTTTCTTGAATAGAACACAATTCAGTAATGGAAACAAAAAAAAAATAGGTTGAACATGGGTAAATATATTGAGTAATAGGAGTTTGTGTATATATATTTGTAAGTAATATAATATAAGTATGTATAATATTGTTGTGGTGGTGGTGATAATATATATTAATTATAATATAATATGTGAATATTATTAATAGGGGGTTCTGGAGTGTGGGAAAATATTACGGACTATAATGGGGAACTTAAATATTTATTTTTTGATTTTCCATAACATTTGGCTATGAAGATGTCTTTTTTTTAATTTTTAGGGGATCTGAAACAAAGACTTTCAAAATATGGTATTCAAAAAAAAAATTTAAAAAATGTCAGTCGGTGTTTTTTATCTTTTAGATAATTTAAAGGCACTTCTGGTTATTAGATTTCTGAATAAAAAATTTTCCACCACTCCTTAAAACCCTTTTGTTACAAAAAAAAAATAATAATTATAATTAGAAAAAATACAATTTTAGGTATATTTAAATATTGTGTGTATAACAATAAAAAAAAATGTGATTGATATATAAGTAAGTATATGTGTATGTTTAATAATATGTAAATATTTTTTATATAAATGTAAAAACAATATAAAGATCTTTGAGCGTTAGCTTGCAGTCCATAAAAAACGATATCGATAATCCAGAATTAAAAAAATACAAAAAAAATACTTATGGGTTGGCAGGCTTGATTAGGTTATAAAGTTTAAAAAAATGGAATTTTGATTTTTTTCATTACAATAAAGTCATGGTTGTGGTCGTTCGTTCGTTGCTTAATTCATTCGATTCAAATCCACACAGATCTTGGAGTTGCGATTTTGTTTTTGACTTATCTCCAATACCTGGAACATTTCTTGCAGGGCCTCATTGGTATGGGTTTTGCGGCGATTACGTCTCAATGTGACCCTGCCCGATTTGAATTCACGAACTAGAGCGTCAAGACCTAAGTGGAAGGGAAAAACAGAAACAAAAAATTAGTTAAATATATTTTTTAAATAATTCAACACACACAGAGAAACAAACATCAACAACAAAAATATATGGCACATAGAATGGAATTTTCGAACAACAATTAATTTGGTTTTAAACATTTTTAAATTTTTTTAATTATTTTGTTTAGTAAAATTTTATTAGAACTTATTAAAGAAAATGTACTTTCAAGCCATGCAGTTTTAGCAATTATTATTATTTTTTTTTCAAAATACCATACCTTTTAAGTGAAAAATTAGGTTACCATACCTCTATTACCAAAACCCAGTTATAAAGGACACATTTGTATGTCTTAAAAAACCTTAAAAAACTAATGTTTAAAAAATCCACGCCTTGGCTAGACCTTGAAAAACTAATGTTTAAAAAATCCACGCCATGGCTAGACCTTGAAAAACTAATCTTTAAAAAATCCACGCCATGGCTAGACCTTGAAAAACTAATCTTTAAAAAATCCACGCCTTGGCTAGACCTTGAAAAACTAATGTTTAAAAAATCCACGCCATGGCTAGACCTTTAAAAACTAATCTTTAAAAAATCCACGCCTTGGCTAGACCTTGAAAAACTAATCTTTAAAAAATCCACGCCTTGGCTAGACCTTGAAAAACTAATCTTTAAAAAATCCACGCCTTGGCTAGACCTTGAAAAACTAATCTTTAAAAAATCCACGCCTTGGCTAGACCTTGAAAAACTAATCTTTAAAAAATCCACGCCTTGGCTAGACCTTGAAAAAGTAATCTTTAAAAAATCCACGCCTTGGCTAGATCTTGACAAAACTAATCTTTAAAAAATCCACGCCTTATATAGGCCCATGGAAAATATATCAAAAAATTTCAGTCTTAAAGTTGACAATATTTTTTCATGAAAATTTAAATTGTAAATAAACCACTCAAGGTTATTATTACATTACATTGCCCTCCCTCTTCTCCCCCACTCATTTCCGATCCACAAACAACCAAATATAAATAAACTACTTGTTGAATATGCGGTGGGCTTGTGGTAAATCTCTATTACCTTGATTTCCACCGAAAACAAACAGAAAGCCCCCCTCATCAAGTCAGCTTATGTTTGGAGGGCGGTGGGAGCTGTAACCAAAAATAAAACAAAAATATTTGTTGATTTGTATTCGTCCTTCGTTGGTAAATCCAAGTAAATCCTTTTGATAAGTAACTCCAAGTGTGTGACAAACCCACACACACACAATGAAAATAATGATGATGTTTGGTTGGATGAAAGAAAATCACTACCAAGAAACAATTGCCCGTATGGGGTTTACGAAGTGGTGGTATATTGGCATTTCAAATATTAGACGACAACAACAGCAATACCACCAACAACGACAACAATCTTCTTGGTATAATATTTCTTTATTTATTTGAGAGTGTCTTTTTGATTTTCGTAGTTTTGTTTTCTGCACTTCATTCGTTTGGCAATTTCCTCTGTTTAGTTTATATGCCTTTTTTTGTTTCTTCGTTGGTGGAATGTCTTTCAATTGCCATAATAAAGCATAACAACATTGTGTGAAGGATTGTTCGGTGGGGGAGGGGTGGCGAAGTTCCGACACCCATCATCATCAAATATTCGTCGTCTGCTGCTGTTCGTTCTTAGTTTTGAATTTCAATTTTTATGACGGTGATTTCTTTGTAGCGATTAATCACAGCTCATTTAGTGTTGGGTATTTTTTTTTTTTTTTTGTTATCACTCATTCTTCTTATTCTATTTTATGTTCTACAACGAAATTTTCTTAAAGTTATTTAAAAAATATATTTTAAAATATTTTTAAGATGCTATCACAGGTGTGGTTTTTATTTTTAATATTTTTTAGACAACTATCACAGGCGTGGATTGTTTTTAGACAACTATCACAGGCGTGGATTGTTTATAGACAACTATCACAGGCGAGGATTGTTTTTAGACAATTTTCACAGGCGAGGATTGTTTTTAGACAATTATCATAGGCGTGTATTGTTTTTAGACAATTATCACAGGCGTGTATTGTTTTCAGACAACTATCACAGGCGTGGATTGTTTTTAGACAATTATCACAGGCGTGTATTGTTTTCAGACAATTATCACAGGCGTGGATTGTTTTTAGACAACTATCACAGGCGTGGATTGTTTTTAGACAACTATCACAGGCGTGGATTGTTTATAGACAATTATCACAGGCGTGTATTGTTTTTAGACAATTATCACAGGCGTGGATTGTTTTTAGACAACTATCACAGGCGTGGATTGTTTTTAGACAACTATCACAGGCGTGGATTGTTTATGGACAATTATCACAGGCGTGTATTGTTTTTAGACAATTATCACAGGCGTGGATAGACAACTATCACAGGCGTGGATAGACAACTATCACAGGCGTGGATTGTTTTTAGACAGTTATCACAGGCTTGGATTGTTTTTAGACAACTATCACAGGCGTGGATTGTTTTCAGACAACTATCACAGGCGTGGATTGTTTTTAGACAACTATCACAGGCATGACAAGAGCTAACTCGGCGTGGATTTTTTTAAAAAAAATTTTAAGGATTTCGTGGATTTTAAAGAGCTACGACAAACGTGAATTTCTTAAAAAAATTTACTTAAAAATATTTTTTATGAAGTTATCACAGACCTGAATTTCTTAAAAATATTGTTTGAGTGTCTATCGCATTGTGGATTTTTTTTACAGGATTTAGATTTTTAAAATTGTTATTATAGAGCTATCACAGGCGTGGTTTTTCCAATAACAGTTAAATTAAATACCCATTTAAAATAATTAATTGAAATTTGATGTGGATTTATTGTTCATGCTGGCGGCTGACCATGAAACTACACGACTCTTATACACTTCATATCTTCTTCTACTTCATTTTATCTGAATCTTCTCACTTCTCATTTCCTTTAAAAACCGAACAATTTAACGGAAATTTTTAAACACAAAACAAAATCATTGTTGATAACATAGATGTTTGTTGGTATTTACTGTCGACGTCTCGCCATTATTGTTGATATTTTCTTCTCTCATTTATATAAGTCACTGCATGCAAGTGAGTGTGAGGTGAATGAGCGAAAGAAAAAAGAAGAGAGAGAGAGAGAGTGAATCAAACAGTGTTTATTGTTGTAACTCCTGTTTATGAATCAACATGTATGAGGTTTCTTCTTCTTTATTTTGTGTGTTGTTACCAAACACATTTGCACCATATACATAGATGCTCAAACACACACATACACACAATATTTGTTTATCCTTTGCAATGAAATATAAACGGAAGTAATGATTTTTACCATATAGAGATGACACAATAAAAGCGTTTGGGCGTCAATGAATTCGTTTTATTGGAATGGAGGGCGTATGAGTGTTGGGCTTTTTTTTAATATTTTTCTAGAGGCCTATTACAGGTGAGTTTTTTTTTAATTATTTTTCAAGAGGCCTATCAAAGGCATGGATTTTTTTAAAAATATTTCTCAAGAGGCCTATCAAAGGCGTGGATTTCTCAAGAGGCCTATCAAAGGCGTGGATTTCTCAAGAGGCCTATCAAAGGCGTGGATTTTTTTAAATATCTCTCAAGAGGCCTATCAAAGGCATGGATTTTTCAAGAGGCCTATAAAAGGCATGGATTTTTCAAGAGGCCTATAAAAGGCATGGATTTTTCAAAAGGCCTATCAAAGGCGTGGATTTTTTTAAATATTTCTCTAGAGACCGATGAAAGGCGTGGATTTCTCAAGAGGCCTATCAAAGGCGTGACTTAAAAAAAAAATTAGGAGGCCTATCAAAGGCGTGAATTTAAAAAAATTTAGGAGGCCTGTCACACCTGTGATAGTTGTCTAAAAAATATTAAAAAAAAAAAAAACTCAAACCGCATTGGTATGGTCCAATAATGGCTTCAGTCGTTCACACAGCACGCTGGATAGCTTATTATAGGTTATTCCTCTATAGTTTGCAGTGCAAACTGTGCCCATATCTTCTTGTCTTCTTTTTTGTGCACGTGACACAGCAAGCTGAGGTTCCAATCATTGGGCATGCATTCTTCTAGCCAAATTGTACTAATGCTCCTGAACCAGGTAACCCGTCGGCTCCTGCTGCTTTATTGTTCATGAGCCGATTAATTGCTTTTATGATCTAACATATTGATGCTAGAATAGCTTGTATACTCATACCATAACCTCTTATTGGTTCGGCGATATTCACCGCCAACGCAGATCGGCCCATAGATAGGAATACCAAATGCAGACATTTCTTTAAACACCTCTAAACGGATAGGGCTGTCGAATGCGGCTTTATAGTCGATGAATAGGTGGTATGTGTCGATGTGTTTTTCGTGGGTTTTTTTACAGGATTTGGCGCAGAGTGAAAATCTGGTCAATGGTGGATTTGCCAGGTCTGAAGCCACAGTGTTACATTAGATCGCACCTTTGATGCTACATTAAGACGGGTGCGTACCTTTGCTGCCAGAACGTAATAGTCCGAATCGATATTCGCTCCTCGGATCGATCGAACGTCTAATACACTGGATGAATGCCTTCCGTCTATCACAACATGATCAAATTGATTTCTCATACTCTTGATCAGGAGAAATCCAGGTGGCCTTGTGTATATTGAGATGCTTGAATCTGATGCTGCTAAGTACCATGTTTTTTGCTGCGGCGAAGTCAATCAGCCTCATGCCGTTGCCGGATGTTTCTTCATGAAGGCTGAATTTTCCGACGGTGGGGCCAAAAATATTTCCCCTTCCGATTTTTGCATTAAAATATCCTAGCAGAATTTTTGTGTCATGGTCAGGGCAGCGATCATATGCTGTTTCTAGGCGCTCGTAACATATGCCTTTGGTCTGCTCATCTTTGTCTTCGGTCGGAGCATGGGCGCAAATAAGACTGATGTAGAAGAACTTCGCTTTTATACGGATTATAGCAATTCGCTCATCTACTGCAGTGAATCTGGAGACGAGGTCTTTTATTCTCCTGTTAACC